GGACCGACCGTCCCGGCATTCCTATAGTCCTACCACGAAATGTTCTTAGAACCCAATAATGTTCTAAGAACAGAAACACTGTTCTTAGAACATAAGCCCGGTGTGTTAAAACAAGACAACATCAACCAGACATGTTCTAAGAACATTTCGTGGAAACCACAAAAGGTTCTGAGAACATTGTTTGGTAGGGCTATGGGCGAGCCGGGACGCTTCGCCACTGCTTGAAAAGAGCGAGCCCCTTGCGATGGTTACGCCCCCGCGCCAGCTCCACACTCCCCAGCAGAACGGATGCGCCACCATGGACGCCACAACTGCACAGGAGCACCCAGGCATGGGCGGGCGGGCTCTGAGGCCCACGTGTCTGGGCCCAGACCGCGAGGCCAGCGCAATGCCACTTCGGGGACCCCCGTTGCATGGGAGGCGGGGGTAGGGTTCGGAGTTCGCCAAGTACTCGACGTACTCCGAGCCCGAATACCCCCGCCGCCCATCGGATTCCCTGAATCGTTGATCAGCGAGGGGGGATCAGAAGGTTCAGAAGGCCTCCAGAATTCTGCTAAGTTTTATGAGCTTTCTCCAAAGACACAGAACACTTCTCAGAAGCCTCCAGGCTTCTGAGAAACTCGCCGCCTCCTGGAAAGGCCTGCCCCCTCTCACTCCCCCTCCAGCTCGCCGCCAACAAAAAATGCCTCGCGCGGCAACTTGGGACTCAATTTGCGTCAGAACCACGTCGGGTTCACGCCGGTTCTACATCGGATTCACCTCAGACTTACTTCGGATTTACGTCGGAGCGTCCCCACACGAACGTCGTCCAATATCTGACGCGGCGGACGTCTACACTATATGATACAATTTATTGCGCGCCGCGCGAGGCCACCGAACATGTATTATGGGGTGCCATTTCTGGGGGAGCAAAAGTCAGGGAGCAACTCCTCGTAATCCTTCGAAAGAACAGCGCGATTCAATAATACAATAATATCGAAATGCTCCTAAACAGGATTAGGCTGGATCGAGCCCAGGAGTACGCCATATCAAGCTGGATTGCGCGGCGTCGCGCTGGCGCGACCCATCGATCCAAAAACAAGTCAGATACGGAGGAGCTTAAACCGACCAGCCCTTCAGGGCGCGAGTGGTTTAGCGCGTTTCTTCTTTCGTCCCACATCTTCCCATTCTGGGGGGGGGTCCCACCTCCCCCCCCCGGACCCAGAAAAGAATGTTTCGCGACCCACTGGGGCGGCCAAAATGGCCCCTATCGAGGAGGCGCAACTGATTGTTTTGACGAACGTGTTGGGGGCCGTCGTCCCGCGAGCCGCCGCCTGGGCCGCAGAAGCCACCCGCAGGGCCCCCCCCCCCACGCCGCAACCGCCACCGCCGCCTGCGGGGAGCCGGCGCCGGAGACCTCCGTGGGCAGAGGGAGACACTGCAGGATCTCGAACCCTAACAGCTTGCCGTCGCTCGGACGTCCATTTCCCGTGCATGTTTAGGCTTCCTGCATGTTTTTTTTTCGCTCGATGATCCAGGACGGCCCTCGATGGTTCTCGCCGAGGAGAAATGCACACGTCCGAGCGATGCCAAGACAACGGCACGCCGCGACCCGCAGCCGGGCGCGTCGCTCGACCGACGAGCCGGCCTAGAACGTGATCCAGCCAGACGTAGCGGCCACCCGGCGCCGGGAGGCCCACGGCTCCAGCGGGATCTCGTGTTCCATGCTGAGGCGGGAGCGGGCCTCGGCGAAGGGCGGGCAGGCCGCCCAGAAGTGCCTCCAGAGGCGCCCCAAGAGGCGCCCCAGGAGGCCAGAAGAGGCGTCCCAGAGGTCCCCGAGAAGCCCCGGAGAGACCCCCAGGAGGCCCCAAGAGGCTCCAAGAAGCTCCCCCGAGGCACCCAAGACGCTGCAAGACGCCCCAAGGACGGCCTAGAAGCCCCGAAGATGCTCCAAGAGGACTCACTGAGCATTTCAAGAAACATCCGAATAGACTCCGAGAGACATCCAAGAGGCCGCTGGCAATTCTGCTCGCCCTCCTTCTCCTCCTCCTCCTCCTCCTCCTCCTCCTCCTCATGATCATCATCCTCCTCGTCATCCTCCTCGTCATCTTTTTTTCCTCCGCCTATTCCTGCTCGTACTTCCTCCGTCTCCCGCCCCCATCCCCATCCCCCTCCTACGATTCCTCCTCCCTCCTCCCCCTCTTGGGGTACGACGGCTTCCCCAACCCCTGATTCCACTGCATGCTTCTCCGCATCCCTGATCGAGGAAACTCGCCTGGGCCTCGTTTCTGGATGGGCTGGTGGGGGTACTTTTTAGTCAGCGGCCGCGGGCGAGCGCGCCAGCGGCGTGTCAGGTCAAAGCGCGCTACGCAGAGACTAATCAGGCAAAGGGAATGCGGGAAAAACAAACGGCTGGTGGGGTTACGCAAAGCGTCTATAATCAAAAGTTGATTCTCGTCGGGGGCCCTGGCTGCGACATGGCGGCCTCGACGGCGATCAGGACACGACTGACTAGGAATACCTTCTGAATCGTCCACTCCCAAGTGTGGCACCGAGAGACCCCTGGGGCCTTTCTTAATTGTTCTGCTCGCGCTGTTCCAGTGCCGAAAGAAACGACAGGGACGTGTTGAATGATGGGGATACAAAAAATCGTGGACACGGGTGAGAGTTGGTTTTCGCGCAAGCGCTCTAGAAAAACATCGTCGTAGGGTCTGGAACGCTAGGCTCCGTCGCGCGCGGGCGCGGGAATACACAGGATGAAATAAGACATGCTCGCTGGCTAGGCAAAAGCATCTCTCTCTCTTTTTTTCTCTCTCTCTCTCTCTCTCTCTATTGCGCGCGCAAGCCCTGTATGAAGACGTTCCTGGAAGGTGTAACTCGTGGACGGGCGGGCTCCCATCGGCAGGCCGCTGTCAGGTCTCCAGGCTTCGCGCCTCGCCGTGCGCAAGAGCACCGACGCATGACCTCTTCGCTGCCACGCGCGCCCCACCGGAGGGAAGGGCAGCTGTCCCGCCAGGACCGCGCAGTGCAGGCCTCTGCGGCGGTCCACTGGGAAGTTGGTCTCCCCCTCCTCCCTCCTCCCTCCTCCTCCCTGCTCCCTCCTCCTCCTCCTCCCTCCTCCTTTCCTCCTCCTACTTTCCCCCTCCTCCTCCTCCTCCTCCTCCTCCTCCTCCTCCTCCTCCTCCCTCCTCCTCCCTCCTCCGCCTCCTCATTTCGGTGGCGAGCCCCAGGGTGAGGTGAGAAGGGGCGGGCCATCTCAGAAGGCTCGGAAGTCCCCCCGCCTTCTGGGAAGCTTTCTAAGCCATCGCCGACGACACCGAAAAACCTCTCAGAAGGCGCCAGGGCTTCTGAGAGGGCTTCTCACTTCCCCCCTTCGCTCACAGCAGATCATCATCCTCTACTTCATTATTCTTCGTGTCCCTCCTCCTCCTCCTCCTCATCATCATCATCACCACCACCACCAACCACACCACCACCACCACCACCACACCCACCACCGTCACCATCATCACAGCCACCACCATCATCATCGATATCATCTTCATCAGCAGCGCCATCGTTATCATCATCATCAGCATAATCATCATCAGCAGCAGCAGCATCATTATCACCAGCATAATCATCATCCGCATCAGCATTATCAACACTATCAGTATCAGTATCATGATCAGCATCATCATCATCAGTATCATATTCATCATCAGCATCATCAGCATCACCATCTTCATCACCAGCATCATCGTCATCAGCATCAGCATCAGCATCATCCTCTTCCTCATCATCATCAGCAGCATCATCATCAGCATCATCATCGGCAGCATCATCATCCTCATCCTCATCATCAGCCTCAGCCTCAGCATCAACAGCATCAGCATCATCATCAGCATCAGCATCATCATCAGCATCAGCATCAGCATCAGCATCATCATCATCATCATCATCAGCATCAGCATCAGCATCAGCATCACCATCATCATCATCATCATCATCATCATCATCATCATCATCACCATCAGCATCATCACCATTATCATCATCACCAGCATCATCATCATCGCCACCACCACGGCCGTCGTCGTCGTCGTCGTCGTCGTCGGCGTCGTCATCTTCAACACAAAAGCACCGTCATCGTCGTCGTCGTCGTGGTGGTGGCGGTGGTCTTCGTCGCCTGGGCATGTCCAGCTCCTTAACGCCCCCTCGGGGGTCGGTGCGACCGAGATGCCGAGGCCTCTCGTCGCCGCGCAGGGCACCCTGATCGCAGCGCGGCTGCCCAGCCCGGTGCAGAAACTGGTCTTAAGTCGGGCGTGTCCCCCTACAGGGGGATTTTCAACAAAAAATAGAAAATACCTAAAACAAAATCAAAGAGCAATCTAGTCTGGGGACTATTTTGGGGGCATTTTGTGACCTTCTTGGTGTATTTTTGGGGTATTTTTTGCTCGTCGAAAATCCCCTTGTAGGGGGACACGCCCGACATAAAACTGGTCGGACACTGCGGCAATTCCAAAACGCATCTCCACTTGAGGAGGATCCGGCAGAGACCAAGGAGGACGGCGTGCGTGAGACGCTGTCGTCGTCTACATCGTCGTCGTCGTCGTCGTCGTCTTCGTCGTCGTCGTCGCCAGTCCCAAGAGGAAAAAGCGACGAACAGACGAACAAATGCGTCATAGTCCCCTCCCTTGTTTCCCATCCTCCCTTTTCCCCTCCTGGGAATCCTCTCATTTTTCCCCTTCCTGTTCCTGACGGGCGGGGGGGCGGGGGGGGGTAGGGGGGTGGAGGGGGTATGGGGGGGAGAAGGGGTACGGGGGGTACGGGGGGGGGGAGGATCCAGGGTCAGTTTACCGCCCCCCGCCGAGGGGCCTGGCAGGTCCCCAGGGGGTCCCCCTGTGGATAAGGGGACACAGAAACACCCCCATCCGGGCGGGTCGCCAGCGGGGTTTCTGGAAGAGGTCCCGCCAGTGGTGTGGGGATGGTCCCAAGTCAGAACACCGCCCCCCTGAGATCCCAGCGGGTCCGGAGCGTGTCCCGGGGAGGTCCAGCCTTCAGGGTCGGCGGCACCGGCCGTAAGGCCTTCGCAATCTTGAACTGAGAAGGATCCGGAGAGACGGATGAGGAGCAGCAATGCTCTCGAGCACTCGCGGAAAACTTCAAGCAATCATTGTCGCAGCCACGCTGTAAGGTACATGTCATGTTGAGAGCCTTGCTTTTTTCTCTGGTGCCTCAGAATCCCCCGTGTCCAGTTCGCTTTCGACCCGATCGTTCACATATGAGTGCAAGTCACTTTGATAGCTCAGAAACGAGAAATCCGTCGAATTTGGAACATCCTCCGCATAAGCCTGACGGAGAAGATTTGTAGATCCCCGTCTTGAGGGGATTGCTATGTGATGGCCAATATTGTAGAACGCCTCCTCGATTTTCAACATTAGCTTATAATCTTCAAACGTTCCACCCTTGTGAAAGTTGTGAAAAGCTTCACTGACTGAGACTCTGTTTTCGTGAATATCGTGCAGGGCAGACTTCACCATGGCTAGCTGGCTCTTGCTCAGATTGGCCTTCAATATGTCCAGAGAAGTGGAGACCAGGGACTCCAGCTTACTGTTAACGTATATCGGCACGACGACTGCCGTGATCAGAGCGTCAGGGGCAAGTGCTTCCAGGCAAGCTGTATCTTCAAGCATCGAACAACCAACCAACAGCCTCAGCTTGAGCGCGGGACACTCCATGAGGGCAGCTACTCGCCTCCGGAGCTCGCTCACTGTGCCGACCCCAGATAGATCCACCGCGACGGGGCCGCCGCTGGATACCACCTGCAGCGCTGGAGCATCGTCCGCGGACGCCATGCGCGGAAGCTGCCGACGTTCCGAATCGATCCAGGCCCTTGAGCCTGTAGAATGCTCGCGCCAGACGGTCTGCGGGTCAACACGCTCAACTCCTGGACGCTTCTCTGTGGGTCGTGGCAGGCCGCCCTCCCCCGGCACCCCGGGACCCGTGGGAGCCCCCCACGGAGGGCCTCTGCCGCGCGACGCGCCCCAGGATCTGGCGCGTGGCCCCCCCAGGGAGCAGAAACCCAAGCCGGCTTCGAGCCGGAAACTCACCCCCGCCACCCCGGCATCCGACGTCGTGAGCCTGTCCGCCCGGTCCGCGGCCCCCAGAGCCTCTCCACCCCGTTCCGGAGGACGGGCATGCCACCCCGAGTCGTCGCCTGACGGCCCCGGGGGGGGCCAGAAACGGGCTCCCCGAAGAGGAAGACAGCCAAGAACCTCCCGTGGTGACTCATCACGCCACGAAGGGTGCTCGGTCTTTCTCTCGTCCAGGCGGCTCCAATGGGAGGCTCCCAAAGGGCTCCTGCCTTTTCGAGAGGGCCCTCGCGGGGGTGCTCCTCCAGAGGGTCCCCGTGGGGGGAGGGGGCTCCTCCAAGAGGCTTTCCGGGGGGATGGCTCCCCACTTCGCCTGCGCCCTCCTCCAGAGGAGCCCCAGGCAAAGATGGTCCCCACACGCCAGAATGCGCCAGGAGCCTCCGCGATGGTTGCGAGGAAGAGACCAGACCGGCTTCGGGCCGAAAACAGATCGCATCACATCATCCAGACCGCCTGCCCAGCCAGATCTCCTGTATCCTGCCCCCCTCGCCCTCCTCCAGCCCCTCCCCCTCCCCATGCCGCTCCCTTTTCAATGTGTCCTCCTTCTTCTTGTTCGTAGTTACCAATCCTCTTTCTGCACCTCCTCCAACTCCTCCTCCTTCTCCTTGTCCTCCTCCTCCTCCTCCTCCTCCTCCTCCTCCTCCTCCTCCTCCCTCTCCTCCTCCCTCTCCTCCTCCTCCTCCTCCTCCTCCCTCCTCCTCCTCCTCCTCCTCCTCCTCCTCCTCCTCCTCCTCCTCCTCCTCCTCCTCCTCCCCCCTCGGCTCTATCCGCGGGCGCTGCCCCCCCTCTCCCCTCGCCGCCCACTCCTCCCCCTCCTGCTTCTCCCGCCCCCAACCCTCACCCCTCCCTCCTCCGGCCGCCCAGCAGGGGCTCCTGCAGAGGCCCAACACTGCAGCGCACGACGCACCCGCCGCGCTCCCATCCACGACGCGAGGGCGCCTCGTGGCACCGACCTCGCTGGCGCCCAGGCAGACGCCTTCCCAGCTCGCGCCCTGACAACAGAAATCAGGCCGGCGGCGTTTCTCAAAGCTCGGCCTCACTGGTGTCCTGGGACGGTCAAGAACTCTACATGGGCAAAAGTCCCCGACGACAAGTGCTGTCCCAAAGCAACAGCGGCCGCTAGCTTGGGCAGGCGGCCTCCTGTCTCAAGCGGACTCAGGCCACAAGGCCACAAACAACGAGTCCGGTTCAGAATGAACAAGAACGGCTGTCGGTCTCTGTTCCCATTCTTTCCGTACCCGGCTCGGGATGGAGAGCCGGGCCTGGGCAAGGGGTCGGGACTTCTCGAGGGCCCTGGGGGGAACCAAGAAGTACTGATACCGCTGCCCCACGGACCTGCACTGGGGTGCGCTCTGCTCGCCATCGCTCGGACGTCCACTTTTTGTGCTTTTTGTCGGTTTCGTGCGTGGTTTTTCCCCCAAATGGTCAAGGATGTTCCTCGATGGCCCTCGCCGAAGGAAAAATGCACACGTCCGAGCGATGCCAAGTCTGACCAGAATCTCGAGGATCATCAGGCCGTAGCGACGAGGACCCTCCTGGTAGAGCAGCGGTGTCGGTACCCTTTCCTCCTCTGAAGGTCGGAATAGAAAACCAGCGCATCGCATGTCTGGGCTGCCCTCCAGCCGCCACAGAAGGGGAAAAGATGGGTGAGCTGTGACCCGCGCATCGCTCCTCTGGACATTCATTCAAAACCCCCCGGATATTACTCAAGACCGGGTTCTCAGACACGATGCTTAACTCATTCAAAAAAAACGGATATTGCTCAAGACCAGATTTCCACAGACACGATGAAAACACGAGTGAGCTGTAGTTACCAGCCTGGAACATATCCCTATCCCTATGCTGGGCACCTCCTCATCACGATGCCAATCTTAGGGATTCCCTTATTGTTTGAGGGCGAATCCCGAAGATTGTCATCGCCTTTTGGCGTGTCAATCTTAGGGATAGGGATACGTTCGAGGCTGGTAATGTAGGGGAAAACATGAGCGCGACTATGATCGCGCATCGCTCCCCGCGATGCGCGATCAGATTCGCGCCCTCGCGCCGCGCCCCCCTTGCAGCAGGGCAGCCGCTCGGGTCCAGCCGGCGACGCGCGACTGCCTCTGCGCCCCTGGGGGCCCAGGGCGACACGGGGCGCGGCGCGGACAGGGGGGGAGAGGAGAGGCATCTGGGACGTCGCAGGGCGCCGCCCTGGACCCTCCAAAATCGGGAGCCCTCCCCCCCCGCCCTCACTCCCGCGGAGGCAAGGAGCAATCCCTGCCTCTGTTCCTCTCCTCCTTCCGCCTTTCCCCCAAGCCTCCTTTAGGGGAACAAGAAGTGACATAAACATAAAACAACTCGGAGGTCCGCGCGGATTTCTCAGATCGGCGCTGGACCCCCCTCCCTGGCGCGCGGAGCGCGCCAAAGGCGGCGCCGGAGGCGCCGCCAGGAGGCCCCAGCGCCGATCCGAGAAATCCGCGCGGACCTCCGAGTTTTTATGTTTATGTCACTTTTTGTTCCCCTATCCTTCCCTCTCCTCTCTCTCTCTCTCTCTTTCTGCCCCCCTGCCCTTCCCGCTCTGCACGGCGCGCCCCCTTTCAATTACGGGCGCGCGCATCCCGGGCCGCACGACACCCCGCGTGCCACGCTGTGCCGCCAGAGAGCCCCTCGGAATCGCACCGGCGGGGACGAGCTCCAGGCGGTCCAGTATGCAGTCTCCCCCGCCCGTCCTCATCCCTCACCATCAATTGTGGCAATAGCCTCGCTCCTCCCTCCCCCCAGACCTCCTCCCAGCAGCGATCCGCACGACGCGAGGGCCTCGAGTAATCACGCCGCCCCCCCAAACGTCCTGCAGCGATCCTGGTGGCCTCTCGGGCTGTCCTGGAGGGGCGCTGGGGGCAAGCCCAAGAGGCCCAGATCACTGCAACATAGCAGGTTACGGTAGTATGACGCATCGGCCTCAAACAGAGAAGGAAGACGCAACCCAAAACATACACTCTTCAGAGGTACGCGCGGACTTCTTGGATCCGCGACAGGCCCCCCTGGCGGCGGCGCATCGGGAACCGCCCCTGGCGCGCTGCGCAAGCCTGGGAAGGGGGGGGGGCCAACGCCGACCCACAAAATCCTAACGGACCTCCGAAAGCTGATGCTTACGGCGTCCTCTCCTCGTCGAGCAAGACCGTCCGCGACACCGTCAAGAGGCCCCGCCTCAGAGGCGCCCCGTGGCTTCTGCGTGGGGGGTCCGAACGCACAGCGCGGTGGCCGACAGCGCGAAGACCTGACTGAAAGCCCCCCAAGGCCTCACCGCAACCTTCGTCACCGCACGGCTTCAAAACCATGGGGGCCCCAGTTGCCCGAGACACCGCTGGAGAGCGACCCCGAGTCCCAGAGCCGCGCGCTGATCCCGAATCCTCACTGACGTACCACACGGAGTGGTGACCGCACCGTTTGCGGTCCCCGAACCCATGGCTTCCGAGGCCAAGTTCGGGCTAAAAGTGTGGCTGGTTATCGATTCGGCGTTGAATCTGGTGTCTGCTACGCTGAACGCGCGCAGAAAAAGCAGGAAAGCCATCGCAGCACTTTCCCTAGACCACAAACGTGCGAATCGCTCGAACGAAAATGGCACAGCGAAGCGAAGCGAACGCGCGAACCACACCTTCCCACACACTTGAGCGACGAGCAGAGGACAGGCTTACGCGAGATGATATAGCGACCTTACGCGCTGGCCATCGCTCGGACGTCTATTCCCTGTGTTTTGTTCAGTTTCGTGCGTGGTTTTTCGCCCAATGATCAAGGATGCTCCTCGATGGTCCTCGCCGAAGGAAAAATGCACACGTCCGAACGATGCCAAGCGCGGTGGCTTACGCGGGCCGCCCGCGCGGCACGTCACATTCGAAGCGCGGGCATTCACGCGCCGACGTCGGCGCAGCCTGCCCCACGCTTGCTTGCGTCGCTTGCTTTTGGCTTAGCTGCAAGCCAACCCCGCCTGCAGTGCCGAAGACGGCTATGCCGCTGCGGAGAGCACCGCGAACGCCTCGGAAAAAAAGCGACCAGGAGCTGCGAGCTGGAAGTTTGAGCCCCAGGAGCTCGGCCAGGAAGGGGGGACATTCGAGTACGGGATCGACTGCATAGTTTTCCCGGAAAAATCACTTTGCTCGCCGAATCTTCAGAAAGCACGTTGGATGTTCCGTAGATCGATGAACATCCCATGTAGTTTCGAATGGCCGACGAGACAATGAATTTAAGGGCGAACCGATTATGTAATCGACCCCCTACTCGAGAAATGGCAATATGTCCCTGAACCCCTCGCGGAGCTCATCTGGCGCAATGTTTCACTCCCGATCCGTTTTTGACGGCCCCCTGGCCCGCCCCCCCCCCCAAACAGGCAGCAGAAGGCAAAGCCCTCCGCGAGCCCAGAGCTTTGAACCTGCCCCCCCCCCCCCCCGGCTCGCCCGACCCACAGCTGAGCCGCCTCGGTCGGGCCCCAGAGCCGGCTCCAAGCGGAGAGTACCGCTGGTCCCCCCCCCTGACATCCCACGGCGTGGCTTGTTTTGGGTCTGCGGCCACGTAGCTGCCGACCGCTTCCCCGGGGTGATTCTTCGTCCAGGATCCATTTTGCATGGCCCCAGGAGGCCTTCCATACCCCCCACAAAGAGCCCCAAGAGGGCCCCAAGAGTTCCCCAAGTGGCTCCGCGAGGACCCCAAGAGAGACTCAAGACGGCTCCAAAAGACCTCCGAAACAAACAACGCTTCCAACGCGGTTGTTGCACTGCACGCTTCTACAATTCCAGGGTCA